CTATTTATCAATTGTTATATTTTTTTTCTAGGACCAAGAAACCCCAGGCAAATACCCGCTAATTAGAAAGCTACCGGCCATTCTTGTTTTTCTTCCGCTTTGAGGCCAAATTCCCCCGTGGGGAAGGGCGCCTTATTGGCCAAATCCCACCACCGGGGCCAACCGGCTGAAAATGGCAGCCCCGGGGAGCAGATCGAAAACAACGGCTAGCTACTATGCACGGCTACGCGCGACACCTCCTTCCGCTGCCGTTGCGTTCATCGCCCAGCAAATCGGCATGGGAAATGGGTTAATTGGCCTGTGAGGGTATGGGGCCTTTTTTGTCTCGCAAATAGTGATTTTGACGCCGGGGTTTTTAGGGACTACACCTGACACCTAATTCCACCCGGGATACTGTACCGCTATTTTTGGGGGCGTCAATTTCCTGAATTGCTAACGGCTAATCAATGAAAAATGGCGTGGAAAGGTCAGTTCATGCGCTGAAAAATTAATAGTTTGGCCGGGCTCAGGTGCTGGGTTTAACCAATTACGCGAGGTATTGCTTACAGGTACCTGTAGTTTGGAGCGCAAAGTATTCAAAAATTCCTAATCCTTCTACAAAATAAAATATTTTTGGGCGGCCCCGGATCCCCTCGAATTTTGACGTCGCATCCGTCAAAATCCCCGAGCCCACACCCCGCCAAAAACGGCCATTTTTCCGGGCAACATGAATTTTTCCGGGGCTCCTCGGAGGCCCATTTTGACCCCTCGGGCCCAGCGGCTTCCGGGGGTTCCGGGTGGATCTTTGGATTTTTGGTGGTAAGCTTGTCTGAGTCTAAGCCCAAGTCTAAAACCAAGCCTAAGCTAAGCCTAATCCTAGGCCCAAGCTTAAGCCTAGGCTTAAGCCTAAGCCTAAGCCTAACCTAAGCCTAAGCCTAAGCCTAAGCCTAAGCGAAGAAAACCGTAAGTCGTAGTGTAACGCGAAACTCAAACGTAAGCCAAGCCTACGCCGTAGTCTATGCCAAACCCGTGTCTTGGCCGCCCCTTTAAAATCTCTCATCCAGCAAAACCGAGCCCAGAACTTCTAGCCCAACACTCCTCCTCCTTACCACCACGGCTACTGCATAGGAAATTGGCGAAAAAAGGGGCGCAAATGTTTAGCAACACCCACCCCGGGGCGAAGCCCTAGAATTAACCCGGCGGGCATTTCCTTGAGAAGCCGCCCTAGGGGTAGAGGGGGACCGGGTGAAGGGCACCGAATAATTATTCATGAGCCCCCCTCAGGCTACGTCTTCTACTGCCAACGTCTTCCACCCCTTATTCTCGGTCCCACATCCAGCAGCACACCCGATCATCCCCGAAAATCCAATTATTCTTTGGAGCTTGTCTCTTAGGGGGGTATTTTGCTTTCGCAATTTTAAATTCTTGGAAAAAATTTTGGAAGGCAGATCCACTGTTCACCTAAAATCCTATTCTTTTTGGTGCTTCTCTCTTAACGGGGAGTGGGTGGTATTTTGCGGCCTTTCTCTTAGCGGGGGGGCGGGGATGATATATTTTTAGAATGTTTTTATTATCTTTAAATTTCTAGGAAATTACAAAAAATTTCAAAGAATTTTTGCAAAATATGCAAATTCTTACTTTTTTTCTTTTTTCGTACATTTCACCAAAAAAAGTTTTCCGAAAATTTTGATCTTTTTCGATCAGATTTTGGTCTGCGAAAACTGCATACAGTGCAGCAAGAAGGTTTTATTGTTATGCGGGATTACTGGCTCTGCCCCCCCCGCTAAAGTGAAGAACCTAAAATACGGCGCGCAGCGTTGCAGCCCGCCACAGAACCCGCCGAAAATGCAATTATTTTTAGCGGACGGCTGAATGGCACAAGGCGGCAGGTGTAAAGTTGCTTTCTTCTAATAGTTCGGCCTATTTTGGGGCATGGATTTTGTACCAACTTTTGCAGGGTGTAGCTTGAACTCTTGACTATAGAGCAAGCCTTTTAGAGTTCATATTCTTCATGTCATGATTTTATTGCGCTGATCGCTTCGGAGCGTCGGAGCCCGCTGATAAAACGCGTCTATTGGAGCGCGGCGTTGCTAGAAATCGACTACGAACGGCTCCAGCGAACGGAGTGACGCTTAGGGTTAGGCGTAGGCTTAGGGGCCTAAGCTTAGACTTAGGCTTAGGCTTAAGCTTGCTTTTCGAAATTTGAAAAAACTGCTGAAGACTTTATTCTGGTCTTTCTAGAAACTTTTATCGTCTTGATCCGGTTCGTGTATAGTTTTTCCCAGTCGATGTCGTAGAAAAATGGCTGTAGAAAAAAAAATGTTAATTTTTCCGCTTTCCCGAAAGCTTTTGCCAGTTACCCCAAGCCAACATAACTTTCTGCTGATGTTCCATACTTCAAAAACGCCTCATATCAACCCCTGACCAAAGCGCATCCACAATTTCCAAAGGCCCCCATCCATCTACCGCAACTTTTTCACGGGGCCCCCTCGTTTTTGGGCGGCCCTCCATTTGGGACCCGGGGTCCAATTTTTCACTTCTCGCCCCCACGTCCCGGCTAACTTTTGCCGGATGGCCCGTCGGCACGCTATCCGCATATTTTCCGTGTTTTCCGGAATTCCCGCTTGGCCCAAGAATTTTTCATTTTCCGCGGGTATCCGGCTCTAAAATTTGGTAAGCCGATTGGTCGAAGTTTAGGCATCCATGAGTTTAGCGCGCTTTTCGGACATAATACCGACAGCCAAAATCCCGGGGGCTAAAATCCCGATATGTTTTTTGGCGCGAGACTAATGAAGCTGCTTTTAAACAGCTATTTTGCATCGCGATGTTTGTGCTGTCGGCATTTTGGCAGGCAGGGCGCTTGACTGTCGGGATTCTGGTTGTCGGTATCCTGGTTCTCGGATTTTTTCTGTCGGGATTCTGGTTGTCGAGATTTTGGTTCGGGATTTTGGCTGTCGCGCTTTTTGACTGTCGTTATTTTGGTTTTCGAGATTTTGGCTGTCGGGATTTCGGCGTTTCCCGGCCAGCGCATCAGCCTGACAAGTTGAGACTCCATGGCTCGATGCCCGCAGGTTTATTTTTATTTTTCGAGTAAAAATCATCTTGATTTTGCTTTAAATAGATTTTATAAATATTTCACTATTTCTAAGCGTCGTTCTAATTCGAAAACTCTCTTTAAAATGCTCGTTTAATTGGTTTGATTTTGATCATGAATTTAATTAATTAAATAGGTTAAAGCTATATTAGTATGGTGCTCAAATCGTTTCTAAATCGGTTTTCAAGTGTTTCTACCTCGAATTCCCTTCAAAATCGTCTTCTCCCGACCAAAAAGCCTCCCTCTATTTTTATCGTCGGGACAGAGGGTAGAAAATTGTGACATGGTGGTGCGGTGGGAGTAATCCGCCAATTTCCCAGAAAACCCTCATCTCCTCTCCCCTTGAGGTTTGACTGATTGGGCTCGTTTGCCCTCCATGTCTGCACCCGCCGTGTTTGGGCCCTAATTTTTTTAGGACCCAGGATTTTGAGTGTGGATCATTCTAGTTTGAGCATCGGGTGTATTTACATTAAAAAAAAACCAGGATGTACCTCACTTTCTAGGATCTTTTCCGTAATCGGGGGGGGGGGGGAGCTCCGGAAGCACTATCACTAAGAACTTTTTCGACATTTATTCAATTGATAAACGTTAAAACTTGATGGTTAGCCTTAAAAAACACGAATTATCGATTTTTCGACAAAAATGCCGATTTTCGACCAAAATCCAATTTTTTTAAACTTTCCAAGTTTTTAAAATATTTTTGCGCTTGAAATGAACCTAGTTTCACTATAAAAAGTTTAAAAATACGTCCCATTACGTTACTAGCCGTTTCTGGTCTTATAGAAAAACTCCCGCCTCCCCCCCCCCCTGGTAATGCTCAAGTACCTCTCTTTTGAAAAAGGGACTGTTCGATTTTTATGTTTTTCGGTTCTTATTCTGACTAACAACTTCTTCTGATGAATAGACCAATTCGTCACGGCGTTCCTTGGGGCCCTGGGGGAAAGCGCGAATTAAATTTTTTAACGGACGCCGCGCCAACTCACCCCCACTTTTTGGCTTCTCCAATATTGTTTTATCCATATTCTACGTTTTCCCCCGGCGATCAGAATAACAGTTTTCGAAGAAATTTCATTTTAGGCTTTCAAGAGCCGGCAAATGGTGCTGGTTCGTTAGCGGGGGTAGGCGGACTTTTCTAATCGGCCCGCAGGCGGCTTATAAAGAATTAGAAAGCATTTATATGGCATTTTAGGACCTTTTTATACCTAAAAAGCTGACGAAATTTCTAGAAAAATCTCCGGGTGTAGCAAAAATACGTAAAACCTTAATTTTTTTGCTTAAGAAATAGTTTGTCATTTTTTGCAAAATTTTCTAGTTATCGTTTTGTAGTCTTGTAACATTTTGTAGTTATAAAAAAAGCGCAAAATGGCGTGTGGCATTTTTTAGAGGTTCAGCTGAAGCAAGGACCCCCCCCCCGCTAGCGAACCAGTACCCGAAATCCACTATCTCATCGGCAAGCTAGCAAATATCCTTTGGGAATTCAGTTGTTTTGCTATGTTTGTTCGCTTTCGATCTTGTAGACCAATTTGCCGACCCGGTAGTCTCTCGGTTCTCAGGGCCGTTTTCGGCTCGCCCAAATTGTGGCCTTATCCGGCCAAAAATCCGGCAATTTTCTGGCCACTTGAATTTGTTCGCGACCACGAGCAGTTCAGCTTTGGCCTGCTAAACCCAAAAATTTGGGCAATTTGGGGAAATTATAGGCCTATGGAGCTGGCAGACTGCCAAATTTTCGCCTTTTTTTAAAAATCCAAAAACCAATCTTATTTTTATTTCTCTTGTTTTTAACTTCACGTTTTTACCTTTCGTAATATGTTATGTTATTAATATATCGCTAATTTTTTTCAGGATGACCGAATTGATAACAACAACCATAGCGGCCGCCGTCGTCCACAGGGGCCCGCCGGAACCCATTTTCTCCGACTACGTCGAGATGACCTCGCTGATCCTGATGTTCATCGTCGGCGCCCCGCTGAATTTGGCCGCCTACACGCAGGTGATTAAATTTTCCTTGAACTGATGCTAAAGAAAAATGATTTCAAGATTTTTTATTTTTTAGCCATAACTATGTTTTTCTATTAGAGTAGTTCAAACTATGACTAAAAACGTAGTATTTTTGCAGAGTATCTGCGTGTTGAAAATCGAATAAAAATCGGAGAAGCCTTTCAAAATCACCACTTCTAACCTATTTTTATCTTCCAGCTCTCCGAACGCCCCATCCACACACGGCTCGACATCCTGAAGCGGCACCTGAACATGACCGATCTGTTGGTCATCTTCGTCTACGTACCAAGCAGGTGCTTTGTTTAAAAGTACAGCTAATAATTGCAAAATTGTTGAATTTCCAAACGTTGACTTTAATGCGGAGCCCGTCCTTGAAATGTAGTATCCTCTTTTTTAGGGCATGCTGGCTGATGACGTACGACTGGCGGGGTGGGGATCTGCTGTGCAAAGTCGTCAAATTTCTGCATACCTTTGCGTTTCAGGTATAAGCTCTACGGATAGAAAAAATTCATATACCTTAGTCCTCGTCGAACGTGATCGTCTGCATCGCCATCGACCGCTTGCTCTCCGTGCTCTCACACGCGCACAACTCGCCCTCAAAAGCTCATCGCAGGTAAAAAGATTTTTTAGTAAAGCGACTACAGATCATTGCTAAAAATTCACATATAAATTTCGTGCAGTTTTCGCTCGATTCTGGTGCATTGGCGGGGGGGGGGGCTAGGCAATTCTGGCGCATTAGCGTGGGGTGATCCCGCGACTCTCGTGGGTTAGCAGGGCAAGCGATATCGAGGGAAAAGCTTTTTATGAAAGTTTAAATTATTTTGAGCTGTCTCGATTCCCCCCCCCCGCTAATGAACCAGAGATAAAAAATTCTTGAGTCATCTCTCGTTTCCGACCAAGTTCTTCATCAGCTAAATTGCCAGCCAGTCCCGCGAGCTTTGTACGTGCCCCTGCGTAATTAGACGGCTTCTATTTTGGCGCCGAAAAGTGGGGGGGTTCTCCGAAAGTTTTCGCTGAAACTCACGTTCCCCGGGTCCGCTTATCCCCCCATTGCCCCCGCCCTGTACATTCCATATTCATAGCCCGTCAAAAACACTTTCGGGGCGGGCGAGATGTTTTCCCCGGCGGGATGGGCGACTTTTTGATGAATACCCATTAAAGGGAGGGATCTATGTTTTTTTGCGGAAAAACATGGCTCAGAAGCCGCAGAGCAATAACCAATAAATATAATAAAAATATGAAAAATTATTTTCTACCTTGAACTTGCAGAACTCGATGCATGCTATCGGTTGCCTGGACGATCGCGTTCATCTCCTCCCTACCCCAGCTGGCCATCTGGAGAAACTACCTAGCCTTCAAGAAAGAAAACTGGAATCAATGCCTCCAGGTGACAACTAGTGAAATGGCCTCTACAAATCTCGCTCCAGACCTGGGAGATCACCCGAATCGAGATGAGCATGCGCGGCGTCGTCGATGACGCCGTCAAGAACCGGCTGTACTCGCTGGAGACGCTCTATTCGGTTATCCATATGGGAATGGTGTTCTGGATCCCGGTGTTGATTGTCCTGGTAAGTTTTTAGATTCTTGCGCATTATCGGGGGGAGCAAATTGTTTGAAAATTGAAAATGAAAAATTTTGGTCGAATACAACGAAAGAAACGATCCGATTTTGCAGCTCTGCTACGTGGTGGTCCTGTGGTGGGTCTGGGTCAACTCCAGGCCGTCGCTGTCAGGTGCGTCTCTGCGTGTGATTCGGGGCCCCTCGCTGCCCACCGCCTTTGACTCCAACGACACCACCCTGCTCACCAGGGCTTCGGGTATACACGAAATGGCACCCTACTTCCTCCCCCCATCACACCTCACACAATATCCCCCCAACTCCTACCGTTCCCCCACTAAACGCACACTGGCCTGCACCCACTGGCTTGAGCAGCTTCCCCCTACCCCGAGGCCACGCCGAAATTTTAAAACCCCGCCCAGTGCCCTTATACTTTTTAATTCGATACCAAAAAACGGAGAGAATTTAGAGTGGAAGCCGCTGAAAACGTTCAAGAAGAATGGTAACACATCAAACTTGGAAGAGAAAAGTAGGCAAACCCACGAAGTCAATTAATTACCTTCTCAGAAATGCCGAAAATCGTTGTCTCCGATGAAAGCTGCGGTCTGCAGCCGACCACGGACCCCCAAAGGACATCCATTACCTCGACAGAAGCATACTCGAAGGCCGGCGTCCATATGGGCAACAGCCAATCGTACAATGCGAGAATTACAAGGTTGACTAAAACCCAAGCGAGTAAACCGATTTAGATCGCGCGCAATCAGAGTATCATTCCAACTCGTCGCAGCCTACATAGTTTTCTGGCTGCCGTACAACCTTCTCGGAGTCCTACGGATTGCGGACCCCAGTATACTTCCCCGAGCAGAGATCAGCAGGGTAACAGAATAACTTGAACAAACGAAAATTCTCTTTAGCTATACTTTCTACATGAACTGATCGTCTTCAACTCGGTCATAAACCCGTATCTTTACGGGCTTTTCGGCAATCTTCGCAAGCCGGTTTCGAGGAACTACGACTAACAAGGACACCAGTTCAAGATCTGATCTCTGCAATATCTATCAATCATAGCGTGTACTTTAACGGGTGCAGCCTCTAATAAAGTTTCGGCTCAGTCATGACAGTAAAAAGCGCAACAAATACCCAAGAAATTACATGTGTAATATTTATTCGATTTCGTCCGTGGATCTGAACGAAAATAACAATTTTATCAACAAAAAAAACTTAGTTCTTGGCGGTCTTCTGGCTTTTGATAACCTTGGCGACGATCTTTTGTTCTTCACACAGGAATGCTCGGATGATCCTCTCCTTGACGGCGGCGGGGCACAGGACTCCTCCATAAACACGGGTGACGGTCTTGTGGCGGCGAGTGAGTCTGGAGAGCTCACGTGGGCGAGCGGCGGTGATCTGGAAGAATAAAAATTAAATTGAGTCACAAAGTATCAGGTTTTTTCAACAAGAACAATTTAGCGATTACTTGCTCGTCAACGAGATTAAAGACCCCCCCCCCCGCCTTATATCGGTTGTCAGGAACAGTTAACTTCAGATTCACGAAAACACATTCGGGAGTGTTTCTCACAATGTCCAAAAGTAATAGACAATTACGATCAGCAAAGGATTGCACGAAAAAGCAGCGCAAATTCTGTAACCATTCGAAAGACGATTTCGGAAAAAATAAGGTAACCCCCAATTAAAAAGCTGTTGCCATAGCGCCAGCTAAATGAAAACTTACTCCGTGGAGCTTGACGCCGGTGTCTCCGCAACGGGGGACCTTTCCCCTCTTCTTGACGTAGTGGAAGACGAGCTTGCCTCCTGGCGTCTTCTTGACCTTGGTCTTGTTGGAGGGGGTGTTGTAAGAAAGGCGCCTTCGGTACGTCAGTCGTTGCGCCATTACCTGAAAATCGACAAATGTAATTGGAATGGCAAAGTCGAAATCGAAAGTAGCAAAAACACTCAAAAAGGCAAGAACACCAGAGAGCGTTCTCTCATGGCCAAAAACCGGTCAACCAGCGTTCGGGAGGTCACGACAAGTGTCAAGAAGCAAAAAAGCACGAAATGGAGCCAAAACTGGCATAGATTTTGCTTAGAAGTAGAGTTTTGTAAAACTCAAACGCAAGGATTCTTTCTCTTCCCGGGGAGTTAACTACCGTAGAAACGGCGTGGCGGGACCTCTGGCGGATTGCCAACGCGTGAGATCGATGAATTACATGTGGTAATGTATTTCCCGAGGGCTGATTGGTTTTTTCTTATAGAAAAATCACTAAATTGATAAAACTATACAATCTCTAGGCTAAACAAAAAGATGGACGGTGCTATGATTGCGCGTGTCGTCAGATCTGCAATCACCAGGGTTTCAACGGGCATGGCGGACCAGGAAGAGCCGACTCCGCCTCGCGTTGCGATGGTCGTCGATGTCTCCGATGCCAATTTCATAGGCGGATTTATTCCAGGTTTTGACTAGCTTTGACTATCAGATGTTTTCTAGTCGTTACTTGGTGGTCGTGACTGTCATCTTTTCGGCGCTGTTCTTTTTCTTCGATGTTGTGTTGGTGGGAATGCAAAAATTTCTGATACGCACCCTAATTATTTTAGCGATAGTTGAGAAGCAGAAGCACCCTTATTCAAGGCCGGAATTTCTTTATTTCACGGAAGAAGAGGTAATGGTATAAATAATTTATATGTTTGAGTTGTAGACGGCACTCTCTGCCGATCAATCTGTTAGGCCGGTGATTTGCCCGAAGCAGCCAGATAAAATGCCGTTATACGCTGGCTATGCCGAGGTCGTAAATGCCGGTAAGTATGGTCTGGAGTGAAAGAAGCCAAATTTCAGGAAAAACCGTGGAAAACGAAGACCAGGCCTGTGCAAAAGTGCTAAGCTTGGTGCAGCAGGGTTCAGAGGCCGAAGAAGCGGCTGAAGTTGGGAATTCACGAAGGTCCGGAATGTCGTTAAAAGTTTTCAATCTCCTTTAGTCAAACGACTGAGCGACGACCATCAGACGAGGACGCATTGATGGGGATTGAATTGGAATCTAGTGTTAGTGACAAAAACAAAGCAGATTTTTTGATTAGACCGATGAGAGCGCAAATGGACAGTGCCGAGCGGAGGCTGTCCTTTTCGGCATCTACGACGGACACGCCGGGAGTGGCGCAGCGCTGATGGCCGCCAAATGCTTGCACGAGCATGTGAAGGTGCGACAACACATACCTATCTAATTCAATTTTATTTAGTCTCGGCTCTCGGAGGTGTTAGAAGCACTGTTGCAACTGGACAGACAGGAAAGCTACGTACTAGCTAGAAGGCGTTCCGAATCGGCGTACAGCATCAGTAAGAGCCATTTTTAAGCTAGGTAACCTGTTTTATTAGCCGGCAGCGAGGGGAGCAATCCGGGATCGCTTCCGAGGATCACTTCCGAGTCTTTGGTGATTGGAGCATTGGAAGCTGCCTTCGTGGATATGGTATTTAGCAAAAGTAGATTCATTCTAGTTTTAGGACGAACAAATTGCTGAAGAGAAACAGCACTGGAAAATTCCCGGTGGCTGTGCAACGATTTGTGTGCTAGTGATTCTAGGTTTGTGACTTATAAGATAAAAAAAACACAATCTCTTCAGGAAAAATCTACGTAGCTAATGCGGGTGATTGTCGAGCGATTCTGGCGACGGCGGGCGAGGTAGAACTATAATTTTTTCATCAACGTACCTGTTTTTAGACGAGACCTATGAGCCGTGATCATACACCGGCGACGGAGCGGAAACGTCTTCAGGCTATGGTCTGGATTGTTATTGATAACCAAAATTGCTAACGGAGCATTTCCAGGCTTTTCGCCATCCAGAATTGATCGGGGCCAGCTTTTCTCGACTCGAATATTCGCGCTGCCTGGCGAAAAAGGACTTGAGACGAAAAGTCCTTTATCGAGACTGGTTTATGGATGGCTGGTATTGGATTTCGAATTTCTAACGCTTTTTATAGGGCTTCAAAAACGGTCCGCGAAACGGATCTACGTCCACCAATGATATCGGATCGGCTGAGAAAGGTTGTGATTTAATTTCCGAACAAGAACAAAACAATTCCAGAAACGTTTGCTGCATACTATCGGGGTCAGTCGAGGCCTCGGTGACCATCATCTACTCACAGCTGACGATAAACTGGCGATAAAGCCATTTTTATCTCCGGTACCTGAGGTAGGGCAAAAACAGGAACGTAGTAAAACTGGGCCAGGTACAAGTGCTGGCCATCCGCTCGCTGCTCTCCGTCACCTCACTCGATGTGGTCATCGTTGCGTCGGATGGGCTTTGGGACGTGCTGACAAATGAGGATGCTGCTAGAATCGTTCGCTCCGCACTGTCTTCTTCAGAGGAAGCTGACCCGTCGAGGTAGGCTAAAATCCTTCAAGCTAATTCCGAAATTTTAATTTTGATGATTCTTATTTGAAATTCCCCATGAATTCATTATGCTCATTTCGCTCGCTAAACCGGCAAGCGGCTAAATATGCCTGTCTACAATTAAAAATAGTAAAAATCGGCGTAGTTAATAGAATTTAGAAAATAACTTTTATCCTAGGTATACTCAAGCTGCTCAAGAGCTTGTTGCGGCCGCTAGAGGGAATCCTGGGGACCATTACAGGTAGATCCTACTATATATAAAAAAATAGTGTCTGTGTGTGTGTCTGTGTGTGTGTGCCACTTTGCATCCACTTCCGGATGTCTGTCCGGAGGATATCTCAAGAAGGGACGGGTATTGGGCTACGTATGATACGTCATTAGGTGCGTAATGGTCTAGGGATCACTGCACACATATCAAATTTTTAAAAATTGGCCATTTTCGCTATTAAACTTAGGTTTTTGTAAATACCTCTTTGTTAGTAATAATTAGCATAGACCGGAAGTGGGCTCGCCTCTATATAAAAAGGTAGAAGAGGTTGCTTTTCATTTTTTTTGTCTTCTGAATAGAGAAAAATTATGCAAAGGGATAAATAGCATGTGGTCCGAGACGGGGCCAGGGTTGAAAAGTCGCGAAGCGGCTTTTCAACCCTGGTTATCGAAGAAAAAAAAGGTGAAATTTTAGAAGTTCTTAAATAACGCTGAAACCCCGAAAAATCTACTTTAGATGGACGATGAATGTCGGAGGACCAGCAAGCACCGATGACATCACGGCCTTCGTCATTCCGCTCAAACACGCGCTGGCCCCGCTTCAGAACGGCGACGACGAAGATGATGATCTACTTTCCCTCGATAGCTGAGCTTCATATCTTCGCCCTATTTATTGTATGAACGCTATTGGTTTTGGATAAAAACGTGACTAACGGGCCCACACAGACACTTATCAGTGCGCACATTATCTGGCGGCCGCAAAATGCTGGCGATTCTCCTGGTTTTACCCCTGATATATGGGTCGTTGGCGGACGTTGGTGAGGATTTAGAGCCTTCAGCCGAAGCCAGAAGTGTGAAAGCTAAAAAAGGTTTAGGAGTATGTAACCGAACCACCGAACCTTTGTCGTGGCTTGAGACACATGGCCAGGGATTGGAGGATTGGTCAAGCGCTGGGGTGAAAGCGGTTGGGCCGAATTATTGCCTAGTGGTGAGAGATTTCCAAAAACAAGCAGCTTCAAATCCCAGGGCTCTAAGCAAACCGCCACGCTGGCCGTCGCCTACCATATGAACATCTCGGCTGATGCCATACCTGTGAAAATGGCACGCCCGACTTGGAACCTAGATGCTAACGGAAGTGGGCCAATAACTTTTAGAAGCTCTACAAAGAATTTAGCCCAAAATGGCTGTCTCAACCAAGACCCAAGAATCAAGTATTGCTTTTCGTTCTGCACCGCCGATCTGGAGAATTTGGTAACCAGGGTATCTACTATTAAGAGCTATCAAGTCCCCCGGCTATCATAGGCAGCCCTAAAGTTCCGAGTTGCCTACCAACTAGCTGCGGATGTTTTCGAGGAATATGGGAGCCCAGCCGATGTGGCGGTCACTACCATTGAGGTGCACCGCATCCAGAAAGCTTTGAAGCGCAAAAACTATTCAGGTTTCACTGACGGACCCGGCGGCCCATCTTGATGTCCAAGTTTTCATGCTGCCTTGCTGGTGCTCGGTCTACGTGGGAATTGACCCGGACTTTGGATCGCCGTATCTCTATGAAGTCCAAATTGCACACTTGCTTTCTTCGTGATAGAGCTAAATTGACTATCAAATAAAATAATACTGTTTTTTGGCGACAGAACAATATTGGCTGTGGCTATTTTAGTGGCATGCTGGTTTTTCTATTCTTTCTACGTCAGGATTGGCCCAGAGTTTGGATCCGTCTCTATGAAGTCTCTTTCAAGAATCATTTTCGCATTTTTTCTTCGTCATCGAGCTACATTCACGAACGGCTAAAATGCTATTTTTTTTTAAGCTTTTTTTTTATTTTGGAGCCGCCGCGGCTTCGACGGGCTTTCGCGGCCCACCTTTGGGGATGTCGCCTATCCAGCGCCCTCTACCGTAGTCATCGGTCCAGCGGACGCGTGCGAGAGGCCCCCATCGCGATTTTGCCTGGCCTAGGGAAGAAAGAATTCTTTTCGCGCAGCTTTGTCGCTCTTATTGGTTTGTAAATTTCACTTCAGCTTTTTGCTTACTAGGATTCCGCATATTTTCGGTTCTCTAGTACGCGGGCTCGTATTAAAGCGTCTAGGTTGGCCTAGTTTCTAACGAAAATCACTTCGAGCTTTAGTAAAGTTGTCTATGGGTTTCCGACGACTTTTCCACTCCGTTTCGTTCGGGCCTTCCTTTTTTCATTTCCCCCGATTCCCTTGACGATACTCAATCTTTGATACACTTTTGATTGATTCAATTCGATTCCCTTCCCTTACAGCAATTCTCAAAGCTGTTTTCAGTGTTAGATTTCCTGTACTCTTATTAAATGTTCCTTTGCAGATCCTCGAGCTTGCGGGTAAAAGATGGGTATAGACATCAACCACAAGCATGACCGTAAGGTCCGCCGAACGGCGCCCAAGAGCGAGGATCCCTACCTCCGCGTCTTGGTCAAGGTATGCAACCCTACTCGGCGCCGGATAATTAATTTGTTTAGGTTTACCGCTACCTCGCTGACCGCACCGGCAAGAAGTTCAACAAGATCATCCTGAAGAGGCTCTTCATGGCCCGCCGTCACCGTGCCCCGCTTTCTCTTGCCCGCATCGCCCGTTTCCTCAAGCAGAAGGGCAACGATAACAAGATCGTCGTTACCTGCGGAACCGTCACCGATGATCATCGCCTCTACGAAGTCCCGAAATTCACGGTATATTTCTCGACGTTTTTGGAAACATCCATTTAGCTCGCCGCAATGCGTGTCACGGAAGGAGCCCGCGCCCGTATCCTGAAGGCTGGCGGAGAAATCATCACCTTGGACCAACTTGCCCAGCGTGCCCCCCGTGGAGAGAACACCCTCCTCGTCCAGGTATGCATTTTTATTGCGTCGCATCTGTCCGCTTCTCCGCATTTCGCTGGCATCACCATTGTGTTGTTGGTTTATTCCTGGAGAGAAACTAGAAGAATTTGTTTGCCGTCCTCGGTTCATACCGTTGCCGTTCGATAAATTCATACATTTCCTAATCCTCCCTCCTACTGATTTTTTTTCCAAAACATTTTTCAATCGTTGTTTTAGGGACCGCGCAAGGCCCGTGAAGCAGAGAAGCACTTCGGACCCGCACCCGGAGTTCCGCACAGTCACGCCAAGCCACTTGTCCGTGCCAAGGGACGCAAATTCGAACGCGCCCGTGGTCGCAGGAAGTCCAGAGGATACAGGAACTAATTTGTTACCTGCCTGTTTGTTATTCTTTTTTCGATGGGCTATAAAGTTGTTCATAATTTTTGATGTAACTGTTCTTAACACATAAAACTTTTGATCCGGTGGCAAACCCCGCAAATATCTATACAACACAGGGTCGGACTGAGGGCTATTGCAGAGAAACATGAACCGGGTTGGATAAATGGTGTTGGCTGGATTTCTTGAAAGGCTTGCCTATTGATATCTGTCGAATTATCCTGAATCCGGCGACATGCCGACTTGCGGCTTTTCAGGGTATGTACGGACGGACAGCCATACTCTCCTTGCGCTTGTTTGAAAAACGTCTGCTATCCTCGGGCCACCGTCTGTTCTCGCAGCCCTCCTCGGCAACACCACCGGAGAAAGTGCCGGAACAGTCAACAAGTCGTCATGTGCAAACTATCGAAGAATACCTGGAAGGCACGTTCAAGCGCGACGAGTCGAAGCTTCCAAATGTTCTTCAAGTTTTGGTAGCGAAGGTTCAATACAAGTTTGGAAAGGAGCAGATGGACCCCGAGTTGAAGGTTCGTCATTCAGCAACGGCAATAATAAGATTCCCCTTTTTTAGGTTCTGCTCGCCCAGGCAGCCACCCAACTGTACTTCAACTGTGCCAACCACTACAGTTATTCCGAACTGTGCGCGTCATTCGGGCTGCCCGACTACTTTTCATCGTGGTATAAGCTTACCATGATTCATATATGGATGGTGCTGCTGCGCTTGCACGTATCCCTGGATGTTGACTCGTACAAGCGGCTGCAAAATGGGTTGCTGGCCGCGTTATGGGATGACGTCGACAAGCGCCTTGCCATCTTGACGGAAGAAATTGGAAAACCGCAAGCTCGTTCTGGCGACGTATATGCCATGCATGGGCTGCATCTACAAACGCTCCTCGAATATGACGAAGGCTTTTTGTCAAGCGATGCTGACTTGGCAGCGGCCATCTGGAGATGCCTGTACATTTCGCGTGATGTGGACCCAGTCCATGTGCAGCGGGTCATCGTCTACATGCGTTCAACGATCGCCTGGTTGGATACGCTCGATCTGGAGGATATTCTCGTTCAAGGAGTGAGCAGTTGGAAGCAATTGGCGCCGAAAGCTTTATGATCGAAAATGTATGTTTTTTTCTGGCTAGTTGTAAGGGGCATCCATTCGTTTTGAGGATGGATACAGGCATATAGGATTGCTTGTATAGGTGGCCTGTCAATCTCCCCACTCGGAATCCCTCATTGAGCTGTTATAGGTTTTTGCCTTGTCGTTTGAACTACGTACGCGTAGCTTATTTGTGTCTAGGAAATTGTGTTGCATCTAGCTTTCTCCCGGTTTATACTTTTTGCCGTCGATGAAGGCATAAATTATTTTACGAAATACGAAGAAAATTTATCGACATGTAGTATCCCGTGTGAACCCAAATACAAAAATACATAGACATGAAAGGCTTTGGTGGACAATAAAATCACAGAGTTGGTGACTAGATCACAGATGCGGGGAAAAGGGGCACACAAACACGTATTGCTGGGTTTGGTTAGCGAGGGGGTGAGATTGTGAGTGCGGAAAATTATTGCCCTATATAATGATATCAGGCTGGGATAATACTTTCTAGCGAGATTCGTTGCGCCTATAAGTCGCCTTCGCGCACTTCTTCCTCCTGGCGTTTATTTAGAAGCTCTTCGTCAATGACCTAAATTGCGGAGGTGGAAGAAAATGTTAAAAAGCATACCTGCCACTTCCATTTTTGTTTATCATCATTTTCGTCACAGCGTGCGCCATAGATGAACCCAGAGCCGTCTTGGGCGGCGGCCATACAATGGTAGGTGGCCGGATGGTAGATTTGGTTGGTATTTTGGCGCAATTTGAACAGCTGGTTGCCCTTCATCGAGTGACTAAATTAATGTACAGTGCAGAATACGGCAACTAACCAATCATAGAGAACGATGGCCGCTTCGTCTTGTGACGAGGAGCTGTCGAAACAAATGCGGCGCCCTTTCGGGCGAATATCGTGCCAGCGGGTCAGACGGAAGTCCTGCTCGCCACCGAGGTTTGGGTTGTCGCTGGCGCACTTGGAGAGGCCGATACGCTGCTCCTTTTGCTTGAAGTTGGCGTCGATGCAGAGCCCGGACGCGACGTGCCGGATCTCTCCTGAATTGATATCGGCGTCTACCAAAATTCCCTAGGGTTACCGTGAGCCGAGGCAGGCGGGTCAATGGCTGGGTAGTAGCGGTCCTGATCGAAGGCGATCTCTTTCATGAACCAATCGAATGATTTGCATTGGAGTCGCTCGCGAACTGCTTTTTGAACGGTCAAATCACCTAAACTCACGGTTAAATTATTACTAAACGAAGCGCAAACCAGTGTCCACGGTTCCTACGCCCGGCCGTCCCTTGTAGAGCAGCTCCTTGTACTCATCCATCCACACCTGAATAAGCGGTTATTTAAAGTTCTCTAAAATAACCTCGGCAACACGCTTGTAGTTCCGCGAGATGAAATCACCTTTGCCGGCGCTTTTAAAGGGCTGATATTTGCACCTAAACCACGGCCTTTAGATCATAAGCAAAATATACCGATAAATGTGGGCGACTCTCGAGCATGGCGCGTCAACCATGCGCCCGTGACATTGCCAGATCTAAATCGAGCGATGGGGAAAAATGACAAAACAAACCTTGAAGCTCAACTCGTACTGCTCGCCGCCCCAAATATCGAGCCCTATGTCATATCCGCCGAGTTCCCAGAACCATTTGCGCGAGATGGCAAAATAGCCGCCGGCCATGATGGGGCTGTCGAACGGCTTGGTGGGGCTGAGCCGATCCGTCTTGGTGAGCGGCAATCGCTTGTAGTTGAACGCCCAATCGAACGACCCGCGTGCGCCCTCGTCTTGTGGTCGGATCTCGTAATTCTCGCAGTCAATGACGTCGACGAACGGGCAGACTACGGTCCTGAAAGCATAGGTGAAGAGCGGGACAAGAGTTTCTCACTTGTAGTCTTCGGTGATCGGATGGAGAAGCGGCGGCAGCCAGTTGTAGTTAGCTTCCGAATGGGCGTCGAGGAAAATGAGCACCTCACCGGTCGCGATCTCTGCCCCTAGTTGTCGTGCACGGATAAGCCCCTCACGCTGCCTGAAAAAAAGGTGTGAGCCCTTCAAAACTACCAAATTTACTTACTTGGTCCGAAGAATTTTGACGAGATGGTCGAGCTTCTCTTTCTTCCAAAAATCCTCCAGCGGTTTTCCCAGGGCCGGTTTCTCACTCGAATCGTCGACCTAAAACCCAAACGTCATTGGCCGGCTTATTAAGAACTACCAGAATCACTTCTTTCACCAAACCGGGCGGAGATCGATGGATTACCGTCCAAACACTTCGAATAAGAGTAGAATTGTGCTGTAAAAAATTGAAAAGCAATTGTTATAACAATACCTCCTCGTGAACTGGGAAAATGACGGAGACGGTCGGCAGCTTCGAGGAATATTTCATGTCCATACATCCTGGGTGACGGATATCCTTGATGGCTCGGTCGACGGCGATCATGTCCGAGACGTAGGCGTTGTAGCCGTTCGCCTTGTACAGGGCCAACTAAAAACCAGATGCAGGAGAGACAAATATGTTTCTTTACCGCTTCATCCTGAATGGCCTTGTCTTTGGGCACCTCAACGGGCACACCCTGTTCTCCGGGTCCAGATCGTCTTTTGTCGGCCTCATATCGTTCTCGGTCAAGCCAGTCCTAAATAAAACCGAGATAAAAACGTCTTAGGAACAGAAACCCACAATTTTCGGCTGTCCCTTGTACTGCTCCCAATCGTCTTTGTCGCCGCGGTTGACTTGTCCAGCCTCCTGATTCTTTTCGTACTGCTCGATGGCTTCTATGATGGGGTAACTAACAGAATAAAAGTTCTTACCAGCTCTCGCGTCTACATCTCGAGCATTTAGCCCCGCATTCGCGCCCGGGAACACAGCCTCTTCGTCGTTTTGCTGTAAATAAAAATTATTTAAGATCAATTGAAGTTACCACTGGTGCAGCTCGTCGATTTGAGACGACACAGTAGATGAAGTAGAGCACGCCAATGTAGGCGATGTACTGGAGCACTCCCGTGTATCGTCGGCTAATATACCGGCTCCATCGCATCCTGAAAAAGTTGAATCAATTCCAGTTACTCAGTTCCAGGGGCACAGAAGGATATTGCGTTTTTACAGTAACCTATTTCAAAAAATAAAGACCCATGAACGGGTTTTTGGCTTGCCGGTGGTGTGGAAAGGAAGAAGCGGGCGAATTCTGTCCGAAAACTCTTTTCAAAAAAGGGGCCCAGCCTCAGAAGTCGAATTGCTACCAGATAGAACGGCTCGCGCAGTCGGGATAATTTGGCGTGGCAAGTGGCTGGCTATTTCGCGGAGCGGGGATGGCCGCTGTGCAAACTACAAGAGTCCCCCAGTCGCGTAAGCCGAGCCCCTGACCCCGCAGAAAAGGACACAATTGGGGGCAAGGAACGGGCGAACAGACAATTCGCCGGGATGGATCGGGGGTTGATGGTTCACTAAGTTTCCGAATTACGTCGGAAAAGCTGAGAAGCGCCAAGCAGCGCAGAAAGTCTAAAATCTAAACCTTCCAAAAGTCGCGTGTGGTATTGTTGTACGCACCGTTCTTACGAAATACAGAAAAAGCAAATCCGCAGAGTTTATTAATTCAGGTACCTAGCACAATAACGAGACTATTTTCCAGCCTAATTTTTAATAAGGGCCCTGCAGAGCGCCAAGTATCGAAACGCAAACATCGCGGTGTCATCTCCTTCATGGGTTCAGCCGCTGAATGCTCGCTTATGCAAGACGGAATCGGGAGAACGGCAAACGGAAACTTCATTTCCAAACGATACCGAGCCCCAATTCATCGAGCAGAGTGCTCCGATTACAGGACTTCGAATCAACCTCCCGGACTGGCTAGCCTGCTAACATCATTTATAACGCGACAACCTCTTGAAATCCTGGGGACTTCGTAGCCCAAACGTTCCACGATTTCCTGACCACCGTCGTCCTGAAAGTTGCTTGGCAACCCCGATCTGGAGTTCAATATTGTATTGGGTCTTTGTTGTTTTTGCTCGGTAGCCAACCCGGAATCGAAGAAGTTATACGCCAGCCGAGGCATCTGAAGCCATCAGGGAGGTAGGGAGGAGCTACGATACGAAGCATATCGATAATCGGTTGGCTTTCTAAATAAAACAAAGTCTACACTGCAACAACGAATTGTAGTACTCTTCAGTATCAGTAATTGGGGGTCTTAATACTTTGAACTGTAGATCGTCTTTCCACACTTTAAATTGTTAGTAACTATGAATAATAGCTTAATTAAAGTAAAGTTGTATTCTACAAAATTCACTCAATGCGCGACCCGCGCGACATTGACTTGCCATCGCGATATCACGATCAGCTCCTTGGGGCCCGAGATTCGCGAACACGCAAGGCAACTGAGGCCCCCCTAAGCACGGCTCGAAATACCCCCAGCCGCAGGGATTTGAAAGGAGGTGTTCTCTAAAGGAAAAAGGACGGAAAGGAAGGAAAAGGACGAAGGAAAATAGAATCGAAGGAACATTATTTTGTGCACTGGATGAAAAAAAACACATTTTTATAAAGTTTCCATTCGTTTCCGCAACAATAGAATTTACGGGTACAAAGGGGAATAACGGTTTACGTAATTTAGGAAGTAACGGAGCCCACCGTAGCACAACAATTTATTTTTTAGTCTCCGTCATTTTTCGAGGGTTTTCTCCTTCACCGGTTTTCGTTTAGCGTTTTCCCTCATCTTTTTTCCTTTTGACCGTCTCGTTTGTTGCCTTTCCATCTTTATTCCTTTTCAGCCTCTCATTTATCCGATTTTAGAGCAGTGATGGCAAGCCAAGTTGGCGACGTCTTGCCCAACGGACTGGTCTACCTCGGGACCCCAAGGCGCCCGACGCCAAACCCAACGCCAGCACGAGGCGGGTCAGTTTTGTTTTTACCTGCTCTATCTTTGTTTTAGGTCCTTCCAGCTCAAAGACTTCGACATTGGTCGCCCACTGGGCAAGGGCAAGTTCGGCAGCGTCTATCTGGCCAGAATACGAGAAAATGGGCTGATCGTCGCTTTAAAGGTTTTTCTTCTTGCGTGTTAAAACTTTCTGTAGGTGCTATTCAAGTCGCAGCTCGAAAAGGGCGGCTGTGAGCACCAGATCCGCCGCGAGATCGAGATCCAGTCCCACCTCACGCACCCGAACGTCCTCCGGCTATTCACGTACTTTTGGGATGCGACGAAAATCTACCTGGTGCTCGAGTACGCAGAGGGCGGCGAGCTGTACAAGTCGTTGCGGGCACAGCGACGATTCAAGGAGGCTGATGCAGCTGTGGTATGTTTATCTTTCGCGATTTATTGTTTTTCTGTCGGTGGTTTGTTTAAACTTGATTTTCAGTACATGCACCAAATGGCCGACGCACTAATCTACTGCCATTCAAAAAACGTCATCCATCGCGACATCAAGCCCGAGAATCTGCTCCTCGGCGCACAGGGGAGAATTGAAGATTGCCGACTTTGGCTGGTCGGTGCACGCCCCCGGAAAGCGGCGTCAGACGATGTGCGGCACAATGGACTACCTGCCCCCGGAGATGATCATCGGCAACAAACATACCGACAAAGTAACGACTATCCGTTTTTATTTAATAAGCTTTAGGTGGACCTGTGGTCGCTGGGTGTGCTCTGCTACGAGTTCCTCGTCGGCTCGCCCCCATTCGAAAGTGACGAGACCCAGCTCACGTATAAGAAGATTAGAAATGTTGGTGCTAATTTTCGTCGCCCTAAACCAGTTTGTTTAGGTCGACTACAAATTACCGTCCAACATCTCAGCGGGGGCTCGGGACCTCATCCGAAAGTTGCTCGTCTTCAAGCCCACCGACCGGCTCACCCTCGAAGGCGTGCGTTTTTATAAGTTTCTCATTATTCGCTTTCCATATTTTGACCGGTAATAATGATTCGTTTAGGTAAAAGAACATGAATGGGTGAAGAGCCACGTACGCGCCCGTCGGGTCGAGCGACGCGCTGACCGATCAAAGGAGACGAGCCATGACCACTCCTCTTCCAACCGCACCGACTGCAACAACCAATGATCTCGTATTTTTTTCGCTTATATATTATGCGCGACCTTGATTCGATTGTGTTCCATTTAGCCACCTTCAACTGTTCACATATGACCAAATGCTTCTTTATAAGGCCTCAATAAATGGTTTGAATAACGTCTTGCGGCAACTCTTTGGCGTGCTTTGGCCTGGACTAACGGAACGGAAGAACAACACACTGTCTGGAACGAATTTCACAATTTAATGGGCCTTTGAAGTTATCCATTCCGACATCACTACGTTTGGTGGTAGCCATAAGTTTCCGGAAACTTGCGGGCATCAGGCCCATCCGAGCGTTTCTCACCATAAAGAGGTGGCGGGACGGTTGTTATAGGCGGTTTCTTCGATGTCAGTCGTCCACTTGGCTTTCATATTGTTCATCCGGCATGGCTCGAATTTTGCTATTAGTGCTTCTACTCGTTGGCCTTGCTTCTGCGAGGTTCGGACAGACCAAAAAGACTGGGAATAAAGCCGGGACCACATTGAAACCGCATTGGGTAGGGAGTACAAACTAACAACGAAAAGGTGGCTGTAGGATTCCCCGTTGGCACCGACCGTCGCCAAATTCGTCAAGCTCATTGGGGTGAACGAGGTGAGCATTTGTAGCACACCAGAAGATGACCTACGCCTAGACAAACGCCATTTTGAACAACTTCCACCTGCATGAGTACGCCCGCCTGAAGCAGCTGAGGGAACTGGCTCTGGTCAAGGACAAAACGTCGACCAAAGCCTGGAAGATGGTGCACGATGTGATCTTTGCATCACTGATGCAGGCGGGGCATTTGGTGGGTGATTACTGGAGCTTATAGTAGTTGAGCATTTTCCAGATCGGGGGGTTGCCAACTGAATTGAAGGCCGCGCTGAAGGCAAAGCGCATCCAGGGCGGCGGCACTGTGGAGCAGGGGGCCAACTACACGCTGCTCGAGGCACTAGTGGTAAGTTGTAACGCGTGTAGTAATTTCATTAAATTTTCATAGTAATTAATTGCTACTTACTTCCTATGTAGTTTGATACACTTTTTGGTCGGTTGATACACATTTTGGTCGACTTTCAGAAGAGATAGATGGTGTTAAAACATTCGGAATACAGCACATTATTAGCTCAACCACATCATGAACCCGCTCGCCTGGGCCCTTGACGAGAAGAAGCACTCAACCGGTCGCCATACACATGCTTCTCGCGCTTCCACGGTGCCCGTCCAGACGGTTGCCGCTGTCACGAAGGTTGAGGTGGTAACGGTAAGAAAAACAGCTAATATTCTTCAATTTTTCTGATAAAAATCGAAGAAAATGTTTCAATGCTATTTTTTACTTTGCTAAACGTAACAACCTTACAAATTCTGAGGAAAATACAAAAATTCGAGTTTTCGACTTTATTGGATTCGCAATAAAATATTCATTAAAAACCGCGAAAAATATCGCTTTCCACGGCAGAAATTCGGAAATTTTCAAAAAATTTCAAAATTTTTTGAATGCAATTAAATGAAACATCCTACTATATATAAAAAAATAGTGTCTTTGTGTGTGCCACTTTGCATCCACTTCCGTAGCGTTGTTCCAGGCGTAAGTCTATAGGGGAAGAAGCTAGGGGTGGGTACGATACGTCATTATGTGCGTAATGGTCTAGGGATGATTGCCCACATATCCTACTATCCTACTATATATAAAAAAATAGTGTCTGTGTGTGTGTGTGTGTGTGTGTGTATGACACTTTGCATGCAACTGCGTCAGCGTGTCCGGAGGATATCTCAAGAGGGGAAGGGATAAAGGGGTCGTATGATACGTCATTAGACGCGTAATGGTCTATAGATGACTGCACGCATATCATATTTTTCAAAATCGATTGTTTTCGACCTTAAAATTAAGTTTTTCTGAAAAAATCGGTCACCCTCTTTGTTAGGAAAAAAAATAGCATACGCCGGAAGTTGCGGTAGCCTATATAATGGGAAGAAGGGAGCGTTTTTCATTATTTTTAATCGCAGTTCGGGTGTATTATGCAAAGTGAAAAATTTCATGAACTCAGACGGCTTTTCAACCCTGGTCACAATTTTAAAAAGTAGCCATTTTCGATATTAAATTTAAGTTTTTGTAAAACCCTCTTCGCTAGGAAAAATGAGCATTGACCGGAAATAGGAAGTCGCCTATATGAAGGTCGCAAGCGAGTCATTTTCATTTTTTTTGGTCATCCGAATTCAGCGCAATTATGCAGAGCGTAGAACAGCATGCGGTCCAAGACGGGGCCAGGGTTGTTTTTAAAAATACAAAAATATTGGGTTTTCGATAGTCCAACAGTTCAAAAGCATCTACTTTTTTAGAAGGGTTTCCACTCGGTTTTCCAGGCCGCCGCCGCCGTCGTCACGCCAGCCGTCACCGCAGCCGCCGCAAACAGTCGCAAATAAATTTATGGATTAACGTGTTTTTGGTCGAGCACAATTTATCACCAGTCCTCCCGAGGCCGGTAGCCACTGCTTTTCAGTTCGAGATGAGCTCTTGCTCCCCGGTGCGCGCGCCGCGGACATCGAGTTACTTTATTTCGAAACACCACAAAACTCTTCTCACAACAATTAACGGTACAAGTGAATAGTGTTAGAGATTTCTTTCTTTTTCGTTGAGCATGAGCAGCAGGTGGTGAGGATGATCGTGTTCGGGTCGGCTCATTTGTTGTTGGTGGTCTCGTCGAGGGCCTTGTAGTACTCGACCGTGTATTTGGCCAGCGACGGCTCAAAGCTCGCCACATACTTGCCGAGGCGCGCATAATAGTAGTTGAGGAGCACTTCGTGGATGTAGTAGTACTGGGCTGGCGTCTGCAATCGGATCACCACCAAAATCGGTTTAATTCTTAGTAAAAACGTGGGTTTTTAAGTATTTTTAATTTAGCCAGGTTAGCCAGGGTCCTTTTTCAAGTTGACGACAGCTGTTGCTCACCTGGACGAGGGAGGCGCGGCTCTCGCGGCACTCTTTGAGCAGGTCCTCGACCTCGAACTTCTCGCCGGCGCTGATCTTCTCGACGATAGCCTGCAGCATGACGATCGAGCCGGTGCGGCCGATGCCCGCCGAGCAGTGGACGACGATTGGGGTGCTGAACGGGTTGGATTAAGGTAGTTTATGACAAAAAACGGACGAGCTTTGGCTGACTTTGGCGAGCAGTTCCATCGGGGAATGGTCGGGCGGAGGGGCGCCACGATCCGGCCAATGGTTCCACTGAAAAATTGGAATTTCTCTCACTCACAGTCTCGATGTCTCTCTCTCTCTTACACTAGAAAAATCTTACATGGTAATGCCGGACGGTGAGTGGCTCCTCGAGCCCGAGGCCGTTGACCTTGAGCGTGCGCACGCGAATCTTCGCCTTCGTCTCCTTGCGGAACTTGAACTGAAATTGGGGGGGCGGTGAACGACTAGAAGTCGACGTGGCCCACATCGGCGTCCTGCTCGCAGCGCACGGTGATTGGGCCCTGGTCGGCGGTTTGGAAGGTCATCTCCTGGCCGGCCTCATCCGGGCAGTACTTGGTGCACTTGGGCTTGTTCTGCTCGACCAACTCGCACAACATGAGGATCGACTGAAGCTCGTTGAATTAGGGGGTGGGGGTTGCGTGGTACGGGACGGGTAGCGGGGGGAGGGGGGAGGTATCTTGTGCGCCACTTTAGTACATTATAGAGCATTTTTATTGCATTTCAAGTACCTTAAAAATTTTCTAAAATTGTATGATTTCCCAACAATCAAAAACGACGAAAAGGCTATATAAATTCAGTAGTCCGATAATGCCAAGGTACCAACTGGCGCATACCTCGACCTTGTGCTGGATGACCATCATCCAAAAGTCGGCGCAAGTGGTCGACATGGGCCCCTGGGCGCAGATGAAGCGCTTCGGGCTCTTCAGGGTGCCCACGTAGTTGGCGTGGATGTACTCGTCGGCGTTGGCCCCGGGCACGTGCACACGGTTGTGATCGTGGCAGCCGACATCCTGAAGGAGTTCAGACGCTTAGACGTTTTCATGTCTGCTGATACCCCCCGACCGGTTACCAACCCAGGTATCTCGGCCCATTGTTCGTCTACCGGTGAGGAAAGTATACCAAAACGTGCGTCTTGCTCTGGTGACTATTTTGGTATACTTCACAGGGCCATAGGTCAGCAGGGAGACCAGCTACGGTAGGGTATCTGTTGTTACCTTGTATCGGTTCAGCTTCTGGTTGCGGCTGAACACGGTGCACTTGGCCATGTCGTAGCGGCGCGGGTTTCGTTGGAATTCGGCGCCGAGCGCCTGAAAAAAAATTGGATGGGGTCGCAAAAACGGTGCTGGACTTTTAGCGGGGGGGGGGGACGGAAAATTCGAAAATGAAACACACCTTGATGCCCTTGGACAGCGTCTTTCCCATGAAATCGGCGGCGGCGGCCTGTTGATCCTTGTTCAGCCTGCCCTCACGGGATCCCTGGGTCTTCGACTTTTTGCTGGAGTTGTACAGCCGCGTTTCGCCGCCGCTGCCTTTTCTGCAACCATAAATGTAGCCCGTTGCTCTGTTAGCGGGGGGGATAATAGCAGCTATTTTTTATATTTCCGCTTATTGTTAATTAGCTGTTAATCCGATGATATAACCTGTATTTTTCTGTTCCATTTAGTGGTTTTTATTGCTAAAACACTAAAAATAAGTCATAAAACCGTTTAAAAGTGGCAAATCTTTTTCTAGACATTTTATTGTAATTTTTGTATGTAAAAACGGTATAAAATGAAGTTTATTTAATGAATGAAAAAAGCATAAATAAGCAGTCACTGACTTTCCGCCCATCTGACGCACGTGGAGGGCTAAGGCGGCGTGAGCGCTGGCGAGACGTCGAACGCGAAGTCGTTTTCTTTGGCGGCCAATCTTCGCCGCTTTTATACCAGAAAATTAGGATGCTAATCACAAGATATTCCGGTGAGGCAAATATATATCTATATAATTATATATTATATATCTATACTGTCATTCAAAATCTAGGTGTACTTTCGCATTATCGGGGGTGGGGGCACCTTTTTCTAAACACTCATTTTTTGTAATAGCGGCAACTGTTTCTAACCTGTTTTTACCATTTTTAAGCGCAAAAAAAATTACAGAAATCCTACTATATATAAAAAAATAGTTCCTGTGTGTGTGTGCATTTGCATGCAACTTCCGTCAGCGTGTTCCAGTAGTATCTCAAGAGGGGAAGTACTTAGTGGTATGTTCGATACGTCATTAGGTGCGTAATGGGCTGGAGATGACTGCACACATATCAGATCTTACAAAATATTATGTTTTCGACATTAAAATTAAGTTTTTCATGGAAAATCGGACACCCCAATTTGTTAGGAAAAAATTAGCATGCACCGGAAGTCGCGGTAGCCTATTTAAAGGGACGGCAAGGGCATTTTTCATTTTCGTCATCCGAATCCGGGAAGATTATGCAAAGTCAAGAATATCATTGGAGAAGACGGGGCCGCGAAGCGGTTTTTCAACCCTGGTTTAGTAGAAAAACCAAAATATCGCTTTTTCGAACACAAATCCCGATTTTAGAACAAAATTCAGAATTTTGATATAGTTTTCAACGTAAAAGATAGTTAAATGGATTAAAACGGTTAATATTATGCCCAAAATAATTTATACAAAGAACCAGGGTTGAAAAACCGCTTCGCGTCTTTTCAACCCTGGCCCCGTCTAGGCCTTGTGAAAATCCTCTATTTGCATGCTTCTTCCCGAATTCCAGCATAAAAAAAGTGAAGAGTGCGGCCTTTCTTCCTTTTTATGAGCCGCCTCCACTTCCGGTGTATGGTAATTGCTTCCTAACAAAGAGGAAAGCCCAGAATTTTAAAAAAACCTAATTTTAATGTCGAAAACACCGTATTTTACAAAATCTGATAAGTGTGCAGTCGTTCCCAGTCCATTACGCACCGAATGACGTATCAAACATCCCCCTAGCTTCCATCCTTCTTGAGCTACGACTGGAACAACCTGACGGAAGTTGCATGCAAATGCACACACACACACACACACAGGAACTATTTTTTTATATATAGTAGGATAGGATTCCCCCCCGATAATCGAGAAGTACCTGATTTTATAATTTTATAGAAAATCCCAAGACATGAAACTCAAATAGCAGCACATAAATTGATATAATTTATTGGGTACGTTAAACGACAAATGACGTTGCGATTTTGCGATAATGATCCGAGTTTAATTTTTTAATTTTGAAGGTGGGCGGGTGGTGGTTGACGGGTTGGCGGTCAGATGGCCCTGGTGCACACGGCTCGCACCTTGTCCATGCCGTCCCGAGTATCGTGCTCATCAACGGATCCCTTTCTCTGAATGGAATCATTTATGATGCTTTGGCATTATCGGGGGAGAAACGATTTTTTATACAGCTCAAAAAATACCGAATAGTCGTAATCTACAGACTATAGACTATCTATAGACTTTTAGTAAAATTTACCCCTATTTAAAGCGGAAAAACAATCTAAAAACCTAGATAACGTCTTAAAAAATTCAAAATTTGGTCGTAAATCGGCCATTTGTCGTCGAGAAATCGATATTTTTGCATTCATTTAATAAAAATTTGCATGGCTTTTGCGTTTAAAAATAGTAAAAACAGCCTAGAAACACTCTCTATTTTTATTAGAAAAAAATGGACCCGTTGAAAAATGCCCCCCCCCCGATAACGCAAAAGCTCCCAGAATTAGCCTCTCCCACGCGATTTTCGAAGCGCTCCCTACCGTGATATACTCCAGGCAGCACAGGTAGACGAGCATGAGCTGGCGCTCGTTTTGCACGGCCATGGCCCGCTGATCACGCAGTTGGCGCAGTAGATCGAACATCTGCACGATGGTACTGTTCTGTTTCCGGGGGGGGGGTTGAGGTTGGGTTTTGCTATAACTGCTTGGTACTTTTGCATTATCGGGGGGGGGGGATGCCTAGTGTGCTCCAGAAATGACTTGTACCATAAAAATAAATGTTTAAATAAAGTTTTTAGTAAAAATCGGTTATATTTGAAGTCGAAAACTATTCAAAAATGTTGTAATTTTCGTCGATAATTCATATTTTTGGTCGAAAAATCGATATTTTTGTAATGTTTAATAAACGTTTGTAAATTTTTACGTTTGGGTATAGCAAAAAAACAGTGTAGACAGACTTCCATTCTTTAAATTAGAAAAATAAGATTCTATTGAAAAATTGCCACCCCCGATAATGCAAAAGCACCAAACCGGGAAAATAGAACAGTACCTGCACGTTCTCGCCGGCGTACAGCCGGTTGAGGGTCCATAGGGTGAGAATCATGGTACCGGTGCGGCCGATGCCAGCCAGGCAATGCATCACAGTCAGCCCCGGGTTCAGCACGTCCGGGTCGCCGATGACGCGCAGCAACCGAAGGATCTCTCTATAGCTGCTGGGCACAGCTTTTTCCGGCCAATCCGGATACTGGACAATCCTGCAAAAAATGCCCGGTTTCACTCGTAGTTTAGCGGACCGGGTTCTGTCGCGTTATCGGCGGGGGGGGGGGTAAAATTCAGCGTTTTCGATAGTTTTTCCACTTAAAATAACGTTAAATTTACTAAAACCACTATGCTTACTAATACCTCACTAGACATTTCTGAACTTCCACAAAAAAAAAACAGATTTTCCTCGATCCCCCCGATAATGCAAAAGCACCGCTGACCGAACAGTTCGACTCTTCTTCGCCGCCTCTGGTCGCAGTTCGATCGTCAGCGTGTTGAAGCCGCAGTTCATCTCCATCTTTTTGTTCTCGACCCGCCAGCGGCCGATTTTGAGGTGTTGATCCGGGTTCTCCGGCCAGTAGGGGGCGCACTAAGGGAATCGGGTTCATGAAGAAGTGCAGCGCTAATACCTTGGTTGGTTGCCCCTCACCGGGCTTGCAAATCTGCACAATGTTGACGACCTCGTGCTCCCAGCACATACGCCAAAAGTCGCCCATCGTGTTCTCGAGCGGCGCCTGTGTGGCAATGATCGTCGGGCCTTCCGGGAGCTAGAAAAATAGTATGAAAACCTGGGTGGGGGTGAGTTTAGCCCCTCCTCCCCCGATAATGGAAAAGGACCGGTAAAACTAGTATAAAAGGCAAAATACCTCGCACCAATTCGCATGGATATAATCGCCCTCATCCTTCGTCTCGGGCGTCAACTTGACACGCGTCGCGTCGAGACACGGGATGTCCGGCCACCGATTCTTCGCCGGGTTCGCGTCAAAGGCGGTCTGCGCCGGGTTCTTCGGCACGTAGCGCGTCACCTCATCCCAACCGACGCGTGCCTCATAAAATTCTAAAGTGAGGGTGGGGCTCGATTTGAAGTGACACTGCAGATACCTCCTCCCAGTCGACCTCAAACCCTTTTATCCCGACTGCCTGTTGGTTTACATGTGTGAAAATCGTACTAAAATACTCGCAAAAACAAGGCGAACATTTTGGTATACTTTACACACCTGTAGACGAATAGGGAGCCGCAATACAAAGGTTGCAGGCTGCACACCCCTGCAGATCCCCCACGGCCCCGACCTCAAGCCGTTGTATCTCGGCTCCTGTTGGTCTACAGCAGTCTAAAGTATACCAAAATGTTCGTCTTGCTCTGGTGAGTATTTTGGTATACTTTACAGTCATGTAGGGCAGCGGAGAGCTGAGATACGGTTGCGAGGGACGGCCGATCCATAGTTTAGCCGGCCAAACTCACTGCTGCGGACTGACGCCGCGAAGCTGCGGGCGGCTGATTTTACGTTTGCCGATCCAGCCCCATTCACGATAAGCGTGGGACGCACAAGCTCTGTAAAAATGTTAAAAGTCATGTCAGTCAGTCCGATTTTTCGCAAAAAAAAATTGCGGATTTTCAACCAAATTTTGAATTTTTCACCGTTTTCTAACGTTTTAGATAGTTTTTACCGATAAATTGTTACATTTTACTCAAAATACTATGAAAATTAGGACTTAATTTCTAAACTTGTAGAAACCTGCAAAAAACAGGGTCGTTAAAAACTCGCTTTTCCTGTTAGCGCCCGGCGCGGGAGTCGGGGCGGTGTCTTTGGACGCCGGAGCAGGGGACCGACTTTCCGGTTTTGACATACGAATCAAGAATATTCGCAAGATTGTTAAAATAGCCCGTAAATATTCAAATCGGGAAAAATTCAAAGATTTTTTGTAAATTATCACTCGTGATTCCTGGGAACTTATGCATTATCGAGGGTGGGGGCTTTTTCATTAGGGTAAAATTTTTGTAAAATAGATCGAGACCTTTCAGACATTTTTTATTCTTCCTAAGCGTAAAATATGTATAAATTTTAGCAAAAATACGCGAGAATAGATTTTTCATTCAAAATTTCGAACTTCGAATTTTTCGGTGTTTTTGCTGCCTAAAAATCGTTAATTTTCCCTAGTTATCACTATTACTGTAGAATGCTGTTATTCTAGACGTATACAAAAGCATTTTTAAACGTATGCCAGAAAAAATCGGTTAAAAATACAAAAGTATCGAAATTTGCGACCAAAATTTTGAATCTACATCAGATTTTGAATTTTTCTATACAGTTTCCCCGTATAAATATGGTTAAATTTTTGTAAAAATGCTCTTAAAATACTTATTATTGGAGTGGGGTATGCAAAATCCGGCCCACCCCCCGATGATGCCAAAGTACCTAGCTTCCAGCATTTTTAACACCTGCCATTTTGTGTCGTCTACATTTTGGCACTTCTCAAGGTTCTCCTGGCAGCCATGAACATCTCTTGACCGGCAGAAGAAGAAGAAAAATGAAGGAGAGATAGAGCGAAAAGGGCGAAAAGTGGGCCCTCAAAGTAGCGCGAACTGATGACCAAGGGGGAGGGGGAGGGCAATCTATTTGCCCCTGGATCCCCCCAGATACAGGGGGCAGAGATCTTCCGGGGATGGCACCTGGCTAGTTGCTATCTTCTAGCCAATCCCGGCACTTTGTCAAAATGCTTGGTGTAGTGTTAATTCTAGTTTATTGCCTAAATTTCTGCCAAACTGCTGCCATCAACAGCTCGATTATTTTGTCGTCGGAGGGCGGTTTCCCGGGGCCGTTGATTCAGAAGAATGCCAACACCACAATGTGTAAGTATTTTCAGTTGAAAAACCAAAATTTTCTTTCTAGTAATAATCGGCACAACAAGCGGCACGAGGATCCCCGAACAAATGCTCGTGTTTCCGGGCGCCGCCTATGGCAACGAGGGTCCCGGCGCGTTGAGCCAGGTAAGTTAGAGACGGCTCTTTACTGTCACGTTCCAAGGGAAAGTAACGGGTCAAATATATTGTGTAGCGATAAATGGAAATAGCGCAACATACAAGCACGAAGAGTACGGTACCTCGGCATCTGTTGCATTAACGGGGGGGAGGGGCTTTCCGAACTGGTGCCATGGCACTGCCTAATAGAAATCGAGTATAAGCTTTTTTTTTGCTATTCTCAAGGGTGCCCCTTTATAAAGTGTTATAGAGTTTAATAAATAGGTGAAGTTTCCGACCAAAATCTGAAATTTTGAAAAGTTTTTCTAACAAGGGAAGTGCACGAACTTAAGGTGGCCTTTCTTTTTCAAAATAAGTGGGTCTGATAGAGTCGAACACGGGGATTCCGAATCTGTAATCAGAATCTGCTAAATGTAACGGAGAAAAAAGTTATGAGACTTCAAAGTTGGCAAAATCGACAAAAACGGTACCTTTAGCGGCCTGTAAAGGCGCGGAAGCGGAATTGAGCATAAACCGATTGGTGCATCTTGTTCAGCAGAAAAAGCTCTTTCGAATGAGCTATCATTCAAAAGTATACGATGATTTCGCGGAAATCTCTTCGATGACTTCCACAGGCTCTACCCTTACCTCTGAATTAAAGAAGCTTTTTGACAAATTATCTGTAATTGCTATATATAAGGCTCATTCGAAAGAGCTTTTTCTGCTGAACAAGATGCACCAATCGGTTTTTGCTCAGTCCCGCTTCCGCGCCTTTTACAGGCCGCTAAAGGTACCGTTTTTTGTCGATTTTGCCAACTTTGAAGCCTCATGATCTTTTTTCTCCGTTTCATTTAGCAGATTCTGATTACAGATTCGGAATCCCCGTGTTCGACTCTATCAGACCCACTTATTTTGCAAAAGAAAGGCCACCTTAAGTTCGTCCATTTCCCTTGTAAGGTTTATAAAACTTTTGCGCCTAGAATCAAGTTAAATTTAGTAAAAGACTAGTAAAATAAGTTAGATTACATTATTCCGAATAACCGATTGCCGTTTGAGATTTGTAGCTCGATTATTGGTTTCAAAAAGTTAAATGCAGCTATGAACTTTAACTTGACGCGAGACATCTGTTTAGTTTGGGCGCCGGCAAAGCGTGGGCCTTGGGATGGCTGTGCGAGCGTTTGCCCAAAAACTCGCCAAAGACTCGACGCAAGCCGAGGCCCTATCAGGGTCTTCCCAAGCTATGCAGGATACCATGCAGGTTGTACCCGACGGCATATCGCCGAACTCTTACTTTAGAAAGTCTTGGAAACCCTGTACAACAACGGGACAACGCCGCAGGCCTCGGTCAATGACCGAAATGCTGCAAATTGGAGCCGTTCAGGGGTGCGCCGCGTACGATCAGGGTGCCTTTTTCGAAAGGAATTTGCGACATGTGGCTACTTTACTAGACATATCTGGATTAAGAAAAATCCCCCCCTCGATAATGCCAAAGTACCTAACATGGCTAATTCAGCATACGGCCCAATTCGCGACGAAACCCTGCCCGCCATGGCCGCCCAATTCCCAAAGATCAGGCGCTAGCCCAGTACGTTCATCAGAACACCGGATGGAACTGCTCTCTACACTCCTTGACCGTACTGGCCGACAACTTGAAGCTGATTGTGAGTATTAGCCACAATAAGCCTAAGACTAAGCCCCAGCATAAGCCAAGCGTGAACCTAAGTCTCAGCCTGAGCATAAGTATAAGCCGAAGCCTAAACCTAAGCCCAACCTAAGCCTAAAGGCTAAGCCTAGGCCTAAGCGAAACCTAAGCTAAGCCTAAGCGAATCCTAAGCCTAGTCGTAAGCCTAAGCCTTTTTTCAATAAAATCTTTTCAGTTTTAAGCTACATTTTCAGAACCTCTCCCGCTCCTCGTACCCCGACTGGATCAACAACTGTTCCCTGGCCGGCTACCCGGAAGATACGCTAATCGCCAAAATTTTGACATATTGTAAGTTTTTAGCTTTAAACTTTATGGAGCTTATTACAGCCGACTACCAAGCAAAAACATGTGCAGATTACGATCCTTGTCGTCGACTGCTGGCTGGTCCGTTTTTCCAGTTTGTGAAAACCGAGCTTTACAGGTGTCTGGCTGGAGCATATCGTTGGTTTGCTGGATTCGGTGGCCGATTCCAGCGCCCCGAAAATCGTCTTGTATGCTGCTGTTCGTTTTTGAGATCTTCAGCTTTTAAGGTCAACATTTAGGAAACAGCCCCGGTCATGTCGGTCATGCGGTTGATGGGCATTCAGCAAGTGGGTTTTCAGACTTGTTCGACAAAATAAAACAGCTTGTAAATCATTTTCTAGGCATCGCTAGAAGCAGCTTCCGGTTTCATGCTCGAACTTCGCGCTCAGCCCGCCTCGGTTCGAATACTCACCCATGAGCCACTGCTCATCGACGGCCACGTCTTCAAGCAGGTTGGGTTGCACTAACAAGCTGTAAGCCGAACTGCCGCATTCAGCCAATATTTGGACTTTATCAAGCTTAGGCTTGGGCTTAGGCTCGGCTCAGGTTAGGCTTTGCTTTAGGCTTAGGCTTAGGCTTAGGGGCTTTGGCTTAGGCTTGGGTTTAAGCTTAGGCTTAGGGGCTCAGGCTTAGGCTTAGGCTCAGGCGTTAGCTTTGTCAAATTGAAAGGCTCTAAACTTAATTTCATTAATTTTTAAAAACCATAAACCCACCACAAAATATCAGGCGACACTTTCGGCAAACGGTCCATCCGGCGTCGGGGCTGACGGTTTTGTTGCCTTGACCTCGTTGAAGTCGCTGGCCCAACAATACGCCGTACAGGTGCGTAACTTTTTTGTGATTATTACTAATCGATAGAAAACTATTTGCTTAACTTTTAAAAGCAAAAATTTTCAGGACTGGCAGTCGTCCTGTGGTCTGCAGTCCTCCTCCGTGTTCTCGGTCCCCCAATACGATCAACCGATGTCCACAAGCACGCAGAATACCGAATACTCGAACGTGCTCCGGATTTCGTCACAAGACACGGATGCCCCATTCTCATTCCAGCAGTCGACCCTGACGAACGGGACGTCATCTACCAGCCTGCAGACGCTTGTCTGGGGGTCGTCGGGTTAGAATTTTTTTGCAAAATTCACGATGATTTTTTTGAAAAATCTCTTAAATTTAATTACATTCAATCAAAAAACCGATTTACTTTAATTTCATATTACTCATACCTTTTTGAAATCGATCTTTTAGGCGAAACGCAGGCCACCCCGAATCCGCTTGGCCAATCGACGCATCGGCCGAATTTGACGTATCAGGAGAGTACGAACCAAATATCACGCACCGCCAACAAGAGCTCTGTCTTTTCCCAGAACAATTCGCTGCAAATTAACTGATTTTTGGATATGCTTTTGGGAATTTTTTGATGCTGCCGAATGTCTTTCTGCACTTTTAGAAGCGAATAAATCGTTTCGGAATTATATAGGGAAGCGTACTTACAGAAAATTGGTGACAGAGTCGAAGGCTTAGCCTAAGTCAAGCCAAAGCTCAAGCCTAAGCTTAACCTATGCCAAAGCCTAAGCCTAAGCCCCAAGCCTAAGCCTAAGCCTAAGCCTAAGCCTAAGCCTAAGCCTAGACATGCTGTGAAACCTGAAGTAAGCCATGCCTAAGCCTACGCCTAAGCCTAAGCCTAAGCCTAAGCCTAAGCCTAAGCCTAATCTAAGTTTAAGCATAAACCTAAACCTAAGCCTAAGCCTAAGCCTAAGCCTAAGCTACTTGCACCATTTCTCGGTCGTCTAGGGTAATTTTTAAAATCTTTTGATTCGCAGGCCACCGATCCCCCCTCCCCCACCCAATCCCATATGGCTGTTTTGTGGTGGGGGCGGAAGGTCACTTTTTCAGGCGCTCTTTTTCCAGCCCCCTAGCGAACGCGTCTCCCTTTTCGTATTCAAACGGACCGGGTGGACCGGCTGGGGCTGGCTGGGGGTTCATGGGAAACGCCAAGGAATTGGCGCGAACAAGCCCACCCGGAAAAAGTTCGTGCCCGGCCCGCGCGTTCTGTCCCGACGTTAGGTATGCAAAGCTGGTTGGAGGAATATTAGAAGCTGCGCTTAAGCGGATGCCAAGTTAAGCAGAACCAGGCTAAGTCCAAGCCTCTCTCTCGCTCTCTCGCTCTCTCTCTTTCTGTCTTTCTCTCTCTTTCTCTCTTTCTCTCTCTCTCTCTCTAGCTCTCTCTCTCTCTCGTTCTCTCTCCCGTTCTCTCTCTCTCTCACTCGCTCTCTCTCGCCTCTCTGTCTCCATCGCCCTCGCGCTCACGCACGCTCTCTCTCACTCTCTCTCGTTCTCTCTCTCTCTTTTTCACTCTCCATCTCGCTCTCTCACTCTCCTCACTCTCCATAGCTTTCGCGCTCAAGCTCGCTCTATCTTTCACTCTCTCTCTCTCGTTCTCTCTCTTTCACTCTCGTGCTCGCTCTCCCCTCGCACTCTCCCACTCTCTCTGCTCCCTTTAGCGCTCTCTCTCTTATCCAGTGCCGGCAAGCAGCGATTATTCATGAAAATTTCTAGAACGTTCTTCTAGAAGTTTCTAAACTGAGTTACACCCAGATTTCAAAGAGCCCCGATCTCTGGCTTCGTCCAAACTGAATCGATGCTCTGTGGGACGGGCCAATCTAGAGCCTGGCCCCGCCCCTTTTTGCCCATAGCCCCCCGGGGCACCATTCCATCCAGCCACCAACCACCCCCAAGGGTACCCCGGGTTACGGTAGCGCCTCTGGCACCAATTCGGTCTTACTACTTGTTACACTTGAAACTAGACGGATCTTACCGCTATATTTACTGTTTTCCGGTGAGTATTTTCGTTTTGGGGGTTGCGTTATGTCGAAATCCGGGCGCATTTTGTAGCTTGTAGCCGGTTCCGGACTTGATATTGGCCTGAAAAATGCGATTTTATTAGGCTTTGGGCTTTATTATAGAGTCAGAATACAGAAAATGTGAGGCTTATGCTTAGACTTAGCTCAGGCTTAGGCTTGGTTTGGGCTCTGGATTAGGCCCAGCTGAGCTTTAGCTTTGGTTTAGCCAAGCTCTGGCTTATAATAGGCATAACTTGGGCTTCAGCTTGATCTTAGGCTTAAGAGAAAAGTGAAACTCTATTTTTCCATAGTACTTTTTTGGTCTCTGTTCAAAGCATTAAGGATTAGCATCCTCAAATGGTCTCTGCTAGCTTGCCGGACCTAAGGACTTCGCGCAGTGCGTGCGCCAGAGGAATCCATAAGTTGACTTGTCTAACCTTTAAAGGGGGATGAAGGTAGGCAAGCTAGCTGAGATGCTTTGCTTTGATTGGCTTCAAGGAGGAAAGCTGGCAGGGGTACTCTAGAAATTCAAATCACCGTTTGATGCTTTTTCTATCGTAACACGTCTATGTATACTCTTCCCTTATCAATCATCCCCATTACCGTACCCTTGTTTACCTGGCGGAACTCGGAGCGAGCCTAAAGCCGTGACCCCGCGGGCGTTCCCCCCTTTCGAGGTCATTTTGGGGCTTCGAAATTTGGTTCTGCGCCTGGGTGAGAGAGAGAGAGAGAGAGAGAGAGATCGTTGTGCGTGGGTGAAATGGCAGAAAGGTGGTGGCTACTGCCAATCTGCCCGTTCCATCTCAGCCTCCTCCCCCACCCATCGAAATGGCCTTCAAACAGAACGATTGAGGCCAGCCGGCCGCTGGGTGGGAGAACAAGTCAGCCTAGATTTACAAGTTAGGCAAATTCTGCATGGCTTTCGAGGCTTTTCGGGCGTTTTTAAAGGGACGGACAAGGCTGACGAGTATTGCTTCAAAACTTACAACGAATGGGCCTATCGATTTTACGGCGACCGCGACACGCGATGCGCCCGCTCTGCGTTCTTTTAAAGGTATACGCAAGGCAGGTTTTAGGACTTGTTTGTTACCCACATTTTACCGCCCCGCGACACGCGCGGCACCTTCCGGTCTTTCCATTGAGTAAGGGAGCCCTTTCACCGCGGACAAACCGCGGGTGCGTTGCGTGTCGCGGCTATCCCTGCCTTCTGCTCCTTTTAGAAAGGACGTCTTACGCGAAAATACGGTACCAATCTCCTAAAGTGTCGATCCTACGCTGCAAAAAATTGCCTCCAAAACAAAAGGGACGATTCCCCACGACTTTTCTTAAAACCGCGACACGCGACGTGCTTGGAGTTGCGGAGGCGTATAGGAGGAGGTATAGGTATCCATTACGACATAAAAATCCGCCTGCACGATATCCCCTGCCCGGCCCTTTAAACCTCAGGAAACGCACGTAGCCGACGCGTTGTACGCACGGAAACCAATTACACCCCGCCCTCGTGGACGTCTGGACCACAAAAAATCCCTAAAAACTGCATAGCGCCCTACGCGCGGCCTTGGGCCCTCCGGCATCGAGAAAGATCCATTCACGAAAGCAAGGGCCACTTTTTTGCGCCCCACCCGGCCACCGGCTACAGTATCCCCGGGCGGGGATGGCCAGCCGGGCACCATCTGCGCCCCCGCGTCCCATTCTGGCTTCGGCGCGCCGGCTGTCTGTTTGTTTGGGCGACAGTTTGACTGTCTATCCGTGTGTCTGTCTGTCTTTCTCTCTCTCTCTCTCTCTCTCTTGCTCACTCTGGTGCTCGGTTTGCGTGTGAATCCAATTTTCCAGGCTCGGCATCCCGCGTTTCGCTGCAAGTTTTCGAAAATTGCATCGCCCAAAAATCATTTTCGAACGGAATTTCAGATTTTCGACAACCGAAAGCCCTCTCGAATTTTCAAAACCATTCGCCCATTTGTCGAATATTTCTCAAGTGCTACGGTATGGAAAAAAATACCGTAGTATCGAAAACGAAAATTTCGTCATAGAAAATCGCCAGTTAAAAAAGTGGTCTCCCAATTAGCATCCAAAATTTATCGGGAATTTGGCTCTCGGGATTTTACTCGACGCCGCCGGGGCCGACCTTAAATTCTTGACTATCGAGGTTTCCGTTGTCAATATTTTAGCTGTCCCAATTTCAACTCACCTCTCAAACGCTCTCTGCTAGCTTCCTCCGGGCCCTGAACTTCTCCTAGCTCTCAACAACGCTCATATTTCAAGGCCAAGAACGGCAGCAGCCCCCTAGTTAAATGCTGCCCGTCAGCCAATCCGCGGCGCCATTTTATGGGCCAGTGGTGGCGGGGTGAACGAGTGCTTTTAGGAAATAAGGCGGCTAGGGCTGCCAGGGGAGATTTCTAGTGCCGTGGAATTCTTAAAAATACTCTGCTAGCTTACCTGCTTGATTTTGGGTCGGCGATGAATGAGAGGAAACAATCTTTGCTAGCTTGCCTACATTTCTCTAGTCTAGACCTTTAAAGGGACCGGTAAGGCATCGATTACAACACCTTAACTTAGGCTTAAGCTTGACTTAGACTTAGGATTAAGTTTAGCGTAGGCTTCGGCTTAGCTTAGGCTTATGCTTAGGCTTA